CGGGCCAAGCGTGGGACATTCACGGATGCACACACACACACCACACACATGACCTGCAGCAAATAACATTTCATAGCTACAAGACCTTCAAAGAAAGTCATGGTGTCAAGAAGATAGACACGTACAAGGATAATTGTAAAGTATAAATAACATTATACATGTACATGTAGCAGGGATATTCTCAGAGAGTCAAACTACCGGATGAAATGGCAAACGAAAGTCTCAACTTCAGAGAGTAGAGTAGAGAGGGTGGGTGTGCAGACCAGCGAAGGTCATAACAAATTGATAACAACGTGTAACCAATGCCGGCAATGGATAATGTGTGAGCGACCAAAGAGGCGTACATAGCATGTCCTGTACCACCATAAACACACCTTGACCTTGCCCATTGCGTAGCAATGATACCGCATTGTTATTTCTCCAGTCCACGACAGAATGACTGATGGCGTTTCAGGTCGCCGCTTCGACGGAACATGCGGCCGCAGGCGCAACCGTAGCCAGCAGCAGAGGGTGCCTTGTGTGGTCGACGGGTAATGGCACGCCACTCCGGATGGTTCTGGGCTGCATCGTACCATCCACATGTTGGTACCGGTGGCTCAACCGACGCAAAGTCATGCATAACGACGTCCCTCCACCTCTTGCGTGGATCACGCGCGGGGCAGGCAGTTCACCGAAGAGAACACACTTCGGCAACCGGTGATCTTCCCTCCGTGCCACGTGTCCAAGCCAGCGCAAACGTCATTCCCGTATGATGTGACCAATGTCCTCAGGCACTCCAAGGGTCTTTGCAAGGGCGGAGGACGTTGCGTTGGTCTCCCATTGCTGCCGTCGCGACACTCCAACGATAGATCTGACACATTGATGGTGGAAAATGTTGAGGTGTCGTAGGTCCGGAGCCTTCGTTGTCCAGGTATCCGCGCCGTACAGGAGGGTAGAGAGCACCACGGCAACATTCACGCGACGACGACACTGCAGACTCAGTGACCGGTTCTCGGATACGGCTTGCTTCAATTGCAAGGAACTAAATACGGCAAGCAAATCGAGGGACATTAGGTGCAAACCTCGTTGTTCTAGTTGTCTAGACTGCACGGGGTCTTGAAAATACTGAGCCTCCACGTTGTATCTGTGTGGCATGTGGCATCCGTTGATCTCGTTTGAGTAGTAGTAGGCATGCACTGCATTCTGTTTTGATGAAAGGTTCGATAGCTGATGAATGGGTTTATCATTTGGCTTCCTGTGTGAGTATTGCTTCTGTGGATTGGTTTGGAGCAATGTTCAGATAGTCCAGGCATCAGGCAAATTTATAATGGCAGTCCAAGCTAGTTGAATATCCGGATCCCTTTTTCTCATCTGGTCTACACTCCATCCGCTTGCATCCGTAAGCAATGCAAACGCATTGTCCCTTACACAGGCACGTGGCTCCTGTAGGCAATTTTGGGAGAGCGTAAAGTGGCAGGACGGATATTCCCGTGAAGTTACAACATGACCTGAGTATAATCGTAGGACATCAAGTCTTGACACTACTTGTGACATGATCAATTCTGCTATGCTCTAATGCAGACTAGCAATAAGAGGCATTTGTCAGATACTAGTAACCATGAGGTACTGAGACGATTCTCTTTAGCAAACCACCCACTCCGCTATAAATGCTCAAATAATCTGTCATCTGCCTGCTCCAACTTGACTGTCCTCTTGACAAGTGAAAATCGCTGGCGTTGTCTGGGCCATAAACACCATTATTGGCATTAATCCAACGCCTCCCTTGCTCCTCATCTCTGCATCTCGTAACGATAGGTCTGGCACATCGAAATCTAAAACTAAAATACTTGGAGCTCTTATTTGTTCAAGCTATATTTTCAGAGCCAGGAAGTTGCAAATGGCAAGAAACCCAGCTTCTCTTCACCATTGGCATCACGAGCTATGATCATTATCAGTGAGCAACGTTACTAGAGGAAAGTCGCTGGAGTGAACAGAAAGCTTTCCAAGCAGCAACGTTTCTTTCTCAGCAAGAACAACTAAAAATGAAAGGAGCAACACCAAGGATTTGTCTATCCCGGTATAGGTACCCGGGTGTGTGTAGCCTCTGGCATGGCAAGGTTCTGCCACAGATTTCCAGTACAACGGCCACGGACAAGTGTCCCACTGAGATGCGGTCGCTCGCCCGGACCGCTCCGACGCGGACACCTGCGAAGAGCAGCCTGTGACGTTAATTTTTTTATGACAGAAAACTGCAAAAAAAGTTGGGCTTGTCCCTTTAGTCCTACCCGTGGGAATCGGCCCTAAAGCGGGATTCACAGAAGCTTTTTTGCGATGCGACACGCGATGCGACAGACGCGAAACCGGGAAAACCCCAAATCGCAGCCATGTCGCACCCCACGCAACTGCCGCAACTGGGCCATCGCAGAAGTTGAGCTTGGCTCAACTTTTGCGATGCGATGCGATGCGACAAGCGATTTGGTGTACGATTTTGACCTTTTCTACAGCAAAGTTGTACAAAGGTGCAAGAGTTGCCTATAAATTTTTTCAAGTTGTGTCAAACCGCGCGAATATCATGGTGACGTACCCAAATCAGCAAAACTTTGTCGCATCGTTGACTTCTTCTGTGAATGGTATTTCGCGAGTTCGCATCGCACGCATCCATCGCAGATCGCGTCGCATCGCGTGTCGCATCGCAAAAAAGCTTCTGTGAATCCCGCTTAAGGCTGTGAAGTAATCACAGTATCGGCAGTTGCAAGTTCTTTGGGGGCATTTGGAGATATTCATGGCCCAATAACAAGAAAGATCGTGGAGCATGGTGATTTTTCAATCGAAACGGGAACCCGCCATGAAAGGATGAGTTTGAAGAAGAGCATGCCGTCTACTGTGCGTATAGGTTCCGGTAGTACTACGGTACGGGTTTGGTACCCAGGTCAAACGCAAACATGTGTTCGATATCAGCAAGGCGGACATGAGGCAAAGGCCTGGCCAAATCAGGGAGTAGTACAATACTAGTATACTGTACTGTATTGTACTACTCTCTGGTCCAAATCGCCTCACCCACACACGGATCGGAGTACGACAAATCCATGGGGTCGGGGTCCACCAGCCAACCGCCAACTGGCCAGTGGCGTGGGGTCAGACGAACAGGACTCATCTGCTGTACGAGTAGGAAGGTCGGATGCAGAAAGAGTAGCAGGACGAGAGGCGGGAAATCCAAGCTCATTTAGGGCCTGGTCAGACTGCGGCAAATTTTGGTTGCCTGACGAAAACAGAACAGCGTCCAGAATTTGAATCGCGATCACACTACACATGTGGGGAGAGTGAAAATTCAAACTTCATTTCGAGCGTCAAGTGGTAATCTCCACGAACGACGTCAAATTCCTTCACCTTGGGGATCGCCAACACCTTCAGTGCAATCCTTGCAACCATCCTTATGAGTTTTGTTGTTGTCCGTGGCCAATTAGCTCCTCGATAGCGAGATGAAAAAAGCAGTGATTATCAGCGTCAATGGCGTATCAGCGTCAAATCCTGTTTGGAGCGGAAAAGCGTGGTCCGTTCTTGCTTTTTTTTTGGAGCGTCAACTCTCGCTTTTGCCGCTCTGGCGGCAAGTTACTATGGAGATTCGGATTATAATCCCAGGATTATTTCGATTTTGCCGCAGTCTGACCAGGCCCTTAGGGGCCTATTATATGTGCAAGTCCAGCCCGGGCTGGAGCGAGCGGGCCAGCCCACCAAGGCTGTTTACATGTGCAAGGCCGGGCTCAGGGCGCCAGCCCGCAGTGAGTTTATATGCGCTGAGCTCACGCCAGCCCGTTGTGGGTATGCAGCGAACACACTACGACTGTAGTGTGCTGCCCCGGGCTGAAACGCAGGGCTGCAAGCCATCGTGACTCAGGTTATAAACCAAAAACTTTTTTTCTCACACAATGTATTCTTCTGCTGATTTCTTTTCGCGCTGTGGCACATGCTTGGTGTGTTGCATCACCTTGTTTCTTTTTCCTGTTTTTCACATTTTTAGCTGTCCATATCAAAGTATTTTGCAGTAGTTCCCCTTCCATTTTAATGTAAATCATGCATGTCGACAAATAAACAGTGCTCACTGCACGTCCTTCTTGTTGCTGTACAAAAAGCTTCATAGATTTTCAACACAATATCGGGAATTCTCTTTATAACTTCCCTCAAAAGGTAAAAGTGCCTATTTTGTAGTATGAACGCAGTGTCGACCACATAATAATACAACTCTGGCCCGGGCTGGTCTGTTTACATGTGCTTTTTCTGGCCCGCCTAGCCGGGATCCCGGGTGCTTCGAGGCGGGATCCCGCCTCGCCTTTTAGAGATCCTACTCTGGTTCTGCCCGTACTAGTAGTAGTAGAATCCTAAAGGACGTTTTGGCTCTTCGTTGAGCTCATTTAGTTATTACACATAGACACTCAGTGTCTTTCCACTCGGAAACAATTCTCCTCATACTTCAGTAAGAATCATTATCATTAGTATCAGAGATACTCAAACTCGTGACTGTCCTCCAAGTAGTAATGATGAGAAAGCGTCTACATCACGACGGCTGGGGTAGATATTCCCACCAGCCGTACACGACGCAGAAAATGCTAGTGTCAAGATAAGGACATCGTGGAGGCGAATAGAGACATACCGTAGAAGTCTCCGGTAAACGAAAGCAATACGACAGGAAAAGAAGAAGACTGTATAACCATAAACGGGACAAGTCATGGCAGTAAGTATAGAACTAGAAAATGAATGGGAACACAGGCTGAGGGTTGACTTGACATAGAACGTACATGTAACAATAAATCGTAATGTTGTCCGACGGTAACACACAGTAGCAATGAATACTAGAAATGCATCGAAAGTGCAGCTGTCCAATCAGAGACGTGTGTGAAGACGCATGCAAATATCTAACACTCCCTCCGTTGAGATACAATATCAGACACTCCCTCCGTTGAGATACATAAGGCTGAACGAATGCATGTATTGTAGCTCAACAACGAATACTTATGATATTGCAATCAGAGGTGTATGATCTTCTTAAGACAACGCTTGACGCATCTCACCATTCTCTCAAAGAACCCGCCCCACCAGGGGGGCTTCTCAAGCAGATGGGGCTTCTCCAGTAGATAGGGTCCCGCGTTGAGGCAGACGTTGATCGACGGGCCCTTGCCTGAGCGGAATGACGCATCGTACACAACACGCACTCTTGTCGTGGTCCTATCTTCTCCACCAACGGCTTGATGTGGCACATAGTGTATATCTCTCACATCACCAAATTCCGGGCTCTTGACTTCCTCGATATTGCTGATTCGGAAGTTGTCGGGTAGCGTTGCATGGCGGACTTGATTCTCCGTTATTGGATGTATCCCAAGAGACTCCAGCTCCCAGGATTGTTGAAGCTGCTGATCAAGGACCTGCGCTGTCGTCGTTAAGCTGTGCACCTCAGTAGCGAGGCATGTACCTGTCGTACTAGTTGTTGGGCCTGATGCAGGACCAGACAAGACCCAGCCAAGACGCGTACGGATGGCTGTCGGACCAGAGGCCGTCGTGATCGTCTTGCCCATCATAAATTGCCAGTACTGGTCGGCTCCAATCAATAGATCGATTGTGGCTGTGCCGTCGCAGTCGTCTGCCAGTGTGAGGCCTTGTAGCGCACCGCAGCACTGGACTGCTTGTGCAGGGTGCTGGTTCTGGACTGGTGCGCAAATTGATTCAATCACGATACACTCCAGCTGCAGGGGGTCTCCCTCCGTACTCTGTACGGTCCGATTCACCACGTCTCTTAAACCGCTGTCCCCAACAGAGCAATCACCGAAGGCATTGACATTCAAGCCTTCCTGCCTGTCTGTCTTTAGGTCCAGCCGCCTTTGCACATCACGTGTCACGAATGAGCGCTGGCTCCCTCCGTCGAACAACACTCTCACAGGGATCCCGGTGTCTCGGACAGGTATGCCTGGTGCAACCATAGCTTTAGCGGTCTGCAGCAAAACCATACTGTTGTCTTTGCTAGATGATGTCAGAGCACTGACAGACGACAGTGTAACGCTGCTGGCGGATGGATTGGTCAGTCCCTTCTTGCTTGGAGCCGATGCTGCCCTAGACTGGTTGTTAGCGGCCGGCTTCTTTTCATAGCGCAACGTGGGTGGTGTCACAGGTGATGGCCTGTCAGATGTTGAGTCACACAGGGTAGTGTGGTGTCGACGTTGGCACTTGGCGCATTTCAACTTCGACTGACAGTGACGGATTATGTGGTTCGGTTTCAGACACAGAAAGCACCTTCCGTTGCTCTTAACTATGTCCTTCCGCTTCTCTGTGTTTGTAACGACAGAGCACCTGGCAGTCTCATGACTCTGTCCACAGAACACGCAACTGGCACTTGCCGGGGACGTAAAGGCTGCTAATGCTGCTGCTGTTGGCTGTTCTCTGTAGGTCTGTTTGTTGCGTGTACTGGTCCCCTCAGGCCGTGTGGTGATGCCAGTGAGCGTCTCCTGTGCTGTTGTTCTGTAGTCCGCTTCTCTTAATGCCCAGGCCAGCAGAGTGCATACCGTCTCCGCTTCTCCTCTTTCTGTCATCTGGCGGTAGTACTGCGTCAAGAGAGACTGTGGCAGTTTCTTCAGGAGCTGCTAATAGAATGCACCAGCCTGAAGTTCCTGGCTGCGTCCGGCATCTTCTAGGTGAATGACTGCTACTTGGAGAAGATCAGCGAACTTCTCCAGATCCTGGGCAGCTCGTTCCATTCGTATCACTGGTAGCCGCGCCAGCGCCTCTGTATGCACTGCTGTCTGTCTTCTATCGCCAACAAACTTCTGTTCTAGACGCCTGATTGCTGCGGTGTACGCTGCTGCTGAGTATCCATAAGATTCTATCGCTTTCAATGCTGAGCCCGTCAAACACTGACGTAGTTGCAATAATTTCAGTTCTGGCGATAAATCTTGTTGCTCTACGCAAACCGAGAATGCTGCTTTCCATGTTCTGTATGCTGTTTTATCACCACTAAACGTAGGTATCTTCACTTTCTTCAGGTGTCGGTACACGTCTGTTGGTGCTGCTGTTGACGATGTTGAGCTGGCTGTCATTCCAGACCAACTGGTCTGCGCGGGTTGCTGCTGCTGGTATTGTTGCTGTTGCCGCTGCTGCTGCTGCTGCTGTTGTTGCCGCTGCTGCAGCTGCTGTTGTTGTTGTTGCCGCTGCTGCTGTTGCTGCTGTTGTAGTTGTTGCCGCTGCTGCTGCTGTTGTTGTAGCCCAGACAACGGCTGTGGCCTGGGCCTCGGTAGCGGCGTGGAAAACCGCTGCGGCGGTAGCATGCGTGATAACGGCTGCGGCATAGACGACGGCTGCAACGTAGACAAAGGCTGCGACGACTTCGGCACATAGACCGACTGGGACGCGTACAACGGCGGCAACGAGTGCTGCGACACAGGCAACCGCAAAGACTGATCTGCCGACAATGGCGGCAACGACTGCTGCGACACGGGCAGCGACTGCTGCGATACAGGCAGCGACTGCTGCAACACGGGCAGTGACTGCTGCAACAAGGGCAGCGACTGCTGCGCTACAGGCAGCGACTGCTGGAACACGGGCAGCGACTGCTGCGACACAGGCAACGGCAAAGACTGATCTGCCGACAATGGCGGCAACGACTGCTGCGACACGGGCAGCGACTGCTGCGATACAGGCAGCGACTGCTGCAACACAGGCAGCGACTGCTGCAACACGGGCAGCGACTGCTGCGCTACAGGCAGCGACTGCTGGAACACGGGCAGCGACTGCTGCGACACAGGCAACGGCAAAGACTGATCTGCCGACAATGGCGGCAACGACTGCTGTGACACAGGCAACGGCAAAGACTGATCTGCCGGCAATGGCGGCAACGACTGCTGCGACACGGGCAGCAACTGCTGCGATACAGGCAGCGACTGCTGCAAGACGGGCAGCGACTGCTGCGACACAGGCAGCGACTGCTGCGATACAGGCAGCGACTCCTGCAATACGTGCAGCGACTGCTGCGACACAGGCAACGGCAAAGACTGAGACGCAGACAACGGCGGCAACGACTGCAGCGACACGGGCAGCGACTGCTGCGTCACAGGCAGCGACAAGTACTGATACGCAGACAACGGTTGTGACATACATGAAGGCACGGGCTGCGACAAAGACTGCGACACATACAAAGGCTGTGTGTGTGTGTACTGCATGCGTGTGCGCTGTGATTGCATCCTAGACACAGGTTGCGATGCAGTCTCTGGGGTCTGTTTGCCAGGTTGCCACAATGTGTCCATGGAGTTGTTGGTGTGGGCCAATGGTGCTGTCCCAGTGTTGAACTGCTGTGCATTCTCAATCATATACTCGGTGCTTTCTGGGACAATCACCGGCGTAGCAATGTCTGGCACGAAAGCGTTCGCCCACGGTGTATCACTATTTGCAGTTGCACCTTCTACGTCGTTTGGATACTCTTGCCGATCCTTCGTATCTGCCTTTTGATGATGACCATAGCCTTGTAAAGCCGTCTGATCACCAGCGGGTTCGCTTAACGGTGCACTCTCGCCCGTTTCGAGAACCTGTGCGTCTGCCTGTGCACGACTCGTGCTGTCTGTTTGCGGCATATGGCCGCTCAGGACAAGGCCTGCAGCTCCTGGTGCGTGATCCGTGCCCTTATCTAGACTCGCTAGGTACGCTTTCACCTTATCGGCATTCCGGGTGTACTGTACACCGCTTATAGAGCTCGCACGTGAACTGTTGTAGTTTGAACAAATTCCGTACATGTACTCACTAACCATAGCCACTGTGTTTGCATACATTTCTTGTGTTGCTACATACTCCTCAAACAACTCTCGATCCTCCTGCAATGTACTAAGCAAGCAATGTACTTTTAGGTCCAGCTCCACGAGTGACAGTTTGACACCACTTACAGGTGATCCATTTTCGATATCGTTCAGAACCGCGATTCTTGCTCTGACGAAGGCGACACTCTTGTCAGCCTTTCTCGACCTCGCATCCATTGAATCCGGCTCGAAGGACCAATTTTAGAGATCCTACTCTGGTTCTGCCCGTACTAGTAGTAGTAGAATCCTAACGGACGTTTATGGCTCTTCGTTGAGCTCATTTAGTTATTACACATAGACACTCAGTGTCTTTCCACTCGGAAACAATTCTCCTCATACTTCAGTAAGAATCATTATCATTAGTATCAGAGATACTCAAACTCGTGACTGTCCTTCAAGTAGTAATGATGAGGAAGCGTCTACATCACGACGGCTGGGGTAGATATTCCCACCAGCCGTACGCGACGCAGAAAATGCTAGTGTCAGGATAAGGACATCGTGGAGGCGAATAGAGACATACCGTAGAAGTCTCCGGTAAACGAAAGCAATACGACAGGAAAAGAAGAAGACTGTATAACCATAAACGGGACAAGTCATGGCAGTAAGTATAGAACTAGAAAACGAATGGGAACACAGGCTGAGGGTTGACTTGACATACATGTAGAACGTACATGTAACAATAAATCGTAATGTTGTCCGACGGTAACACACAGTAGCAATGAATACTAGAAATGCATCGAAAGTGCAGCTGTCCAATCAGAGACGTGTGTGAAGACGCATGCAAATATCTAACACTCCCTCAGTTGAGATACAATATCTAACATCGCCGGGCCAGCGCTTGCCATGTAAACGCACCACAGGTTTTGTGTGGATTTGTGTAGAACCCCGAGATCCCGTTGCAGGCGGGCTGGCCCGCCTGTCGACCAGCCCGGGCTGGAGCTGCACATATAATCACCCCCTAAGAAAAGTGATTCTGTCAGCTTTTCTATTATTGTGTTCATATGGCGCTACCTAACGACACCGCTATTCAGACACGTTGTCTACGTGGCTACGTAAGTTTCTACGTAAGATGCTCGGTACGCGGTACCTGGTCCTGGACCAGGGAGCTACTCCATGGCTCCTACTATCGCGCGGCCGGCTGGCCGCATGCGTGTGCATTGCAGACTTTTTGTTGTTGCCTTTTCGGATGTGCATGCACGAGGAACTTCCTTCTTTGGAACTGCTTCTTGCATGAGCTGTTTCGGATATTTCGTCTCCTGGCCTGGCTTGTTTCGTTTCGGCGCTGCTGAGACCTCCTTTCGCGGAATATTACTCAATGGCAGGTGAGTTGACCAGTTCCCTTTGATTCATTTGCTCGTGTTGACTCTTTTCATTTACGAAAAGTGTGCTGATTTTGGGTGGAATGTAATAAATAATTGAAAAGCTGACAGTGCCGGTCTTCCCATTATGCTAGTTATTATGCTAGCATTATCCGCCGGTGCCTATCCAGGACCAGGTACCGAGCATCTTACGTAGAAACTTACGTAGCTACGTAGACAACGTGTCTGAATAGCGGTGTCGTTAGGTAGCGCCATGTGTACACAATAATAGAAAAGCTGACAGAATCGCTTTTCTAAATTCAGACTTCCGCATCCTTTGCAGCATTTCATTGCAAGGCGTACGCATTAATTCATTGCGAGGTGTTTTCCGAACGCAATTTGAACCCGTGTGTTGTCCACGGTCTCAAGATGCCCGCCAGAGAGTCATTGACTCTGATGCTTCTGTGGTCCTTGCTGCTGCAGAGTGCTTTCGGTAACTATCCGTGGTGTGTTTGGCTACTGTTCTGCTTCATTCCCCCCCCTTTTCATGATTTTGCATGTTATCGTTTCCTCGGATCCCGGTTTTCCACTCTGTTATGTTCGAATCCATAGTCTGTCTGTACATGATTTGTACGCAACTTCTATTTGTTTGTTTTTTGTTTTTGTTTTTTTTACCAGGCGTGGGCCATCCCCTGATCATAGGTGCCAAAAAAATGTGTTGTCTAACCTACGCCGTCTATATATGGGTATCTTACTGGAACTACGGTACCCTACTAGCCAGTGCAGGCTGTCGTAATAAAACGTCTCATCCGTGTTCCATTCCCGTGCATGGTACATGCATGGTGCGACGGCACAATGACAGCTGTCGCAAATCACACTGAGTACTGTATAGCAGGAAATTTTCGGACGGAAATATTTTCGGACAAAGCGGAATTTCGACCTTTCGTACGGATTTTATTTTCGTACAGTGCTACATGCTAAATGCACGTGTTCTCATGCGGTACGCATGTATAGTGAACATGACTCCACAGGAACAAATTTTAGTACGGAATTAATTTTAGTACAAAAGAGACCGTGTACGAAATTGTACGAAAATAAATTCCGTCCGAAAATTTCCTGCTATACAGTATTAGGCCAAGTAAAAAAAAAAGCTAGATGATCGTCCCCGTCCGCCCCAGTTTTTGTCAGCGCCCCAAGAAATATTTTATTTTTTAAATCGTGAGTTTTACTATATGGACCACATACTACTAGTATATCACAACGTCAGTATCGATCTGCTGAAGAAAGAAAAAGAAAAAAAGAAAAAAAAAGAAAAAAAGAGAAAAAAAACCTTGATGTTGTTGTGTACACTGTGTGCATGAGAGGGTAAAAAGTAAAAAAATAAAAATAAAATCCTCCCGCCCTCCCCGATTTTTCCAAAAAAAAAGGACGATCATCTAGTAATTTTTTTTA